ATGTCCTGAAAGCGGCAGTAACACTCAGGAAAACAATTAGAGATTAAAAACAGACGCGCTCCCCGCAGGGCTCCACTTCCACAATAATCAGTTTAATAATTTAACCAGAAAGAGACACGGAGGACGAGTTTGAGGACCGAGAAGAGTTAACGAGGAGTAAGAATAAAAATATGAGCTGAGAGCACAAACGAAGTCTGATTTTATATTTGATATTCAGAAAAAAATGGAGATAAATCCGTCGAACTGTAAGAAGTGCTCAAAGTGTTGTAGAAACATCACAGTAAAAACCAGGAGTGTTAAACTTTTCAATTTAGCTCCGCCTAGTGTTATTATAATACTTGCTTTTAATTCAGTGTTGATTTCCTCAGTGTTGACTCAACACTGGACAGTGTTAAATAAGCTCCGCCCACAGTTTAGTGCTATTTAACACAACAGTGTTGTTATATGACACCATGCAGTGTTGAAAGAAGTATTCTGAAAAGCCCCGCCCTCTTCCACCTCATGTCAGACAGACCAGTGTTTTCACAGCAAGGAATGCTGGGTAATCTTTTAGAAATTGTGTTTTTATATGTTTATGTCTATTAAAGAAGTTCATGAGAGTAAAACTTTTGTTTTGTTCAGGTTTATCAAGTTGTTCAAGTTTGTTTGTGTTTTTGGCCATAAATCGACACCATGAGTGAGAGCTACTTCCTGGTGTGTGAAGGTCGACTCCATTACACTTATCCAGTAATTACTGTGTGATATTAATGCAACACTAAAAACTGTTGATCTTAACACTGAAGTGTTAAATTTACACTTTCAAATTTGCTGTAATGACACCTCATAGTGACTGTTTTACACCCCTCTACACAGCAAAAGAGTAAATAATCAACCCAGTCAAATTAACACTCATATGAACCTCCAGTGTTAACTATCAATAACTCAATGCAGTGTTGAAAAGCATGAGAATCAGCGTTGATTTGTAACTACAGTGGAGTACCTTATTAACTCTGCTTTGGATCATATTTACTCTCATCAGTTATTTGACTTGAAGTGTTAAGTTTTATTAACACTGTGCAGTGTTAGTCAGTGTTAATTTTTAACTCCGTTTAGAGTTAAGTTGTACTCTGAACATGTAACACAATGGAAAGAGTTAAATTGACACCAGTTCAGATAAGGACCAAATAGACTCAGACAGTGTTAAATTGAACTCTTTAAGTGTTGATTTAACACTGCAAAATTTACTGTGGGGATATTTTACTAACACAAAAACTATGTGATTGTCCAGTTTTGGTGGCAGCAGGTGATAATTGAAGGTTTTAGGGACAAAACTGTGTTTTTGTTAGAAAACATGATCTCAAAACAAACAGATGATAAAATCTGTCTGTGTCATCATAGACGTGCATGAGAATAGAATAGAATAGAATAGAATAGAATAGAATGCCTTTATTGTCATTACACGCATGCATAACGAGATTAGAGTCACTCCCACGGCCGTACAAACACACATTAAAAGAGATTGAACAGAACAAAGTGTTGTGGTGAGATTCTGAGGTTTCAGTGAGTTTTCTGCGTCGCTCAGGATGAATTTTTAATTCTGTAGTTAAAATCAGGATCAAACCTTCCCGTGAACCCGTCCTCGTTTGGACCTTTGATCTTTATTAGAAAGAAGCAGGAGTCCTCGGCTCGGACTGTAAATGTAAATGAACCGGTGTTTTCTTTAAGTTTTTAACACAGAATTCCTCTTTTGATCTCGTCTCTCCTCTCACACGTCAGGGTCAGGGTGGCCTGAAGCTGCAGATGCAAAAAATAATAAAAATTCAACATATTTTCAACTGAATCCACCACAGAGACGAGATGTTTAACGTTCAAATCAAACTGATAAAATGGATTATTTTCCAAATATTCCCTCTTTTTATGCATTTATTAATTTATCTAAAAATCAACAAATTCTGTATACAATAAAAACACTATCACAAATTAAATGAAAGGCAGCAGAAGAAGAATCTTATATCTGCCTCTTTTTCTCAACTAAACAAATTCAGTCAAAAATAATCCTCAAATACAAATAATTTGATGCTGCAACATGTTCTAAAGCAGCTGGGACAGAAGACCGGAGCGTTCAGGTGAACAGGTTCTGGATCAGATATGACGGGAGCGTCCTCGAAGGGCTCAGTTGTTCACAAGCACTGATGGAGCGAGGTTCACCGCTTTGTGAACTGGTTTAAGAACAATGTAAACAATGTAGGGGTCACCCTGGTGAAAAAAAACTTTTCTATTGTTTATTTTCTTTGTCTTTGATTTTATATTTTTACACTTACAAGAAGAAAATCATTTTAAAGTGTTTTTYTTTTCTTTAAGTGAATAGGACAAAGTCCTATATATACGTTATCTCATTTAATCTTCTATTAGAGGTTATAATCAATATAATCAAAGTTTTATTGA